GATACCAATAAGTACGCGCAAATTCTTGTGCTTTCCCTTTTGGAACTGCAGCAGTGCAGAGGACACCACGTCAAGGCAGGCTTAACACTCAGGGCCTTCAGGTGAGAGGTTCCAGTCCCATGTGATGCTCAACAGTGCTAGATTCCAAGTCATTGGGCCACCTCTGCAAGTGGATGGGACCCCTGTCTGCTGAAATCACAGTGCAGCTACTCCCAAAAATGCCGGCCCCCCCCCCCCGCACCACATTCCTGCTCTGCAGCAACACAAAGGCTGCAGTTGTCGGGAGGCAAGAGCTGAGCCTTTCCATCAAGGCTGTGTGGCACGAGGTCTTCAGAGAGCCCACTTGCTTGGCTGCTCGCTCTGGAGGCAGATGCCCCCCGGGAGCCCAGATGAGCCCTTCCTAGCTTTCTCTGGCCTAGAAAGGAGGAGGTAATGGAAGATGCCTGGCTCAGAGCAGCTTCAGCTGACAGCCCAGGCTGAGTCACATCAGGGCCGGACTCTTATCTCTGCCCTTTTGCTCAGCTTCCAGCGTGGCACCCATGTGGCCACAGCTGGGTCAGAGTCCACCTGCTCCACTGGTGACATCACTGCTCTGCCCAAGGAGGCCTCCGTCTCCCTGCAAGGCAAGCCAGAACAGGGGCTCACCAGGAGCAAACTAAGACAGCTGGAAGAGAAGGAGGAGAGCCCCTCCTGCCGGTCTCGCCGGGAGAAAAAAGAGTTTTGCACCATCTGCGGTGACGGAAGCTTCAAGCTCCACGTCCCGGGCTGAGGAGCCATTTCGCAATGGCCAACGGTCAACAGGTGCAGCTGCCACATTCATTCCTCACCCCCCGAAATTTTAGCAAGGAAGCACTGCAGGCAAACAGTCCACTCTAGTGTAAATCCCCCAATCAATTTGTTGACATGAACAAGGTTCAGAGGTTGTTCTCTGAGGGTGGTGATCAAGAGGCAGTCCCCGTATCAGTGAAAACACAGGAGATTGGGTGCTCTAGCCACGTCCTTTCCTGTCCTGCTCACGATTCAGATCATATAGAAGTGCTCTTGTTGCTGCTGCTGCTGCTGCTGCTGCTGCTCTCCAGCTCAGACCTGGATCCACTTCACGTCATGGAGAATTTGCAGGTGGTCATCCAAACTGGCGAGCTGCACATACAGGTCCAGGCTGCCTGCCTTCCAAGAGGCTAACAGAGTCCCCCACCTTTGCTACATCAAGTAGAAGAAACCCAACACTGACTACCACCCCATGAGGCCCACTTTTCTCCATCCAAGGGGGCAGGAAACTTGAGGGGCAATCAACAAGTTGACAGCCATAGGTATCCAGGCCAACTGTGTGAGCTAAAAGCCTCTCTTCTGCCCTCATCTAGATTCCAGATGTGGAGCTTCCCAAGCGTCCGGTGCCACTACTCACCGGTGCTGGTCGGGTGCCAGGTGTGAGGCCCGGGAGCGGAAGGGCTGCTGTCCGAGCTGCCTCTGCAAGTCAGGCGGGATTTCCGCAGTGGGGTTGGTCATAGCCAGGGTGTGCCTTTTTGACCTATTGGCCAAGTATCTGCAACAAGCAGGAGCACATTTGGTGAGCAGGAGCGCATCTGGAGGGAGAGGCAGGGCCTGGAATGTTCTGAAGACAGAGCAGCAGCAGCAGGAGCAGCAGCAGCAGCAGAGTGGGGAGACAACCTCTTGCCAGCCTCTCTAGAGCTTTGTACAGGGGAGGGGGGCACAGAGGGACAGAGCAAGAAGAGAGAGAAAGGCCAGCCAGTTTTGGCCCAGACCACCTCTGGAGAAAGCAGAAATGCCAGCCTCAGAGAACTAAGCCAAGCAGGTGGAGTTAAGAGCAGGCTCACCCAAGAGTTCAGCAGCTGCAGGAGAAGGATTTTATGTGCCAGAAGGAAGGAGGGACAGAGGAAGGCTACCTCGGCACTGGTGCTGGGCCCCTCAATGAAGGGCAGGCACAGCAGAAGAACCATTCTAATGTGGGTCCCCTAAGCAGAAGTCAAGGACTGATAGGTCACAAAGTGTCAGATAGGAAGAACTGGCCCAACCTTTAAGACTGACAGAAGAACTCCATCAAAGCAGCATATCCAGTGTGGTGCTGAAAGGAACGCTGGTCTGCAGAACAAATCCAAAATCTGATGCCTTTCCCTTTTGAGTTGTGCGGCCGCCACACAGCCTCAAGAGCACCTGCCCAACACCCAACACCTAAGGATCCAGGTGAAGCCAGGCGGAAAAGAGGCTTCTGGCTGGAAATGGCCAGGCTTCAGAAGAGTTAACCAGGATGTCAACCTAAGACCTGTACGAAATACATGAAGATCCCACCCATCCCCAAGGAAGAGGAGGGCTGGAACTGTCTGCCTACAGAGCTGTGGATGCGTGCCTAGATGGGCTTCCCCACTCACTGATAATTGGGGGGGGGGGGGGGGAGAGGACACTTATCAAAGGCTACTTAAAAGAAAAAGAAGGGCACTTAGCGCATGGCAGCTATGAAGAG